TTTTTCTATTAAACTCCTCATCTTTGTAGACAGTTTGTCTTGTTCTTTACTTATTCTCATCTCCCCATATCTTCTCTTCTGCAGCTGGCCTGGCATCCCCCAAACCTCTCTTAGCTACAGTGACTGGCTTCTCCCACGAACGGGGAGAATAAAAGTATTGCTGTGTCACAAAGCATATCTTGCAGTCTCTTGGATTTCCCACTATTGAATGATTGCAGCTGCAACCATTCAGACTTGCTAGGAACACCAGCCAGTCTGATGTTTGAGGTCCAACTGATTCTATTTAAAGAAAATAAGAATATTTATTCCTGAGGTTACTGTTCTAAGAAGAAATTAAATTGCTTTTCCTCTATAACAGACTTAAGGTCTTTATCTTCTATCAAATATGATTGCTTTTGTATACAAGATCAAACAGCATATGTGCAACTTTTTTTCCCCCCTTCCCACCACAGAGCTAGGAAAGATGAGATGGGGCAGGAAATAGCTCAAGTCCTAATGGTTTCCCCATCTTGGCCCTTCAGCATGCTGGAATTTGTACTCTAAAAAGTCACAGAAGTGTTCACTGTTCTGAGTTCTCATTGTTCTTAGACCACTTCCTCTACCTTATTTGCAGAGGCAGATGAGGATCTGGCCTCTCTGAACTTCCTTAGTCCCCTAGTTTCTAGAAGCAACAACTAGATACTTCAGGTTGCGATGATTGATCAGTCATCCGGTGTTTGCTTTCTGGAGCAGCCGAGCTCCTTTTGATTAATGGGATTGGGGTGGAGGTGACCTTCAGCCTTCCCAGTTCACTTTCAGTGGAGAGTTCCTGGCTCAAGGTGGAGCAGGTGAATTTATATCTTTGTCCTAGTCCCTTGGGGATAGGAGGAAATTGTAGCAAGAAAACAAGCACAGGCTTTTTTCTTCTCGCAATATACTCATGGAGCTCCTCCTCACTGGAGATTGATGGGGTGCCAAGGAGATGCAAGTGCTATGGCCTTTATTCACCTTGAAAGGGTCTAAGTGCATTGGGAATTGCCATCAGTCTCTAAAAGCCTACCTCTGTTTCCAAGTGGCTTTCACATAGTTTGCTACTGCTAGCGGCCTGCTCTTTGGACAGCATTCTCTGCAAGGTTGCTTGCATACAGAGTGCCGTGGGCGGGCAAGATACAGAGAGTGTCGCATCAAATCACTGAATAGAGGGAATGGCCAGGGGTTCTGTGTGTCTTGTGTATTCTGTGGCATGAGACTGTCATGTTACTTAGGGATCCTGTAGTTCTTGTGTGGTCAGTTCAGGCACAAGGCAAAGAGTAGTGGGCAATGGGAAGGGTGTAAGAGAAGATGCAGTGAGAGGGGAGAATGGGGTTAAATCTCTCTCCTATCAGGTTGATCCTACTCTATTGCACCACTTTTTCAACCTCAGCTTTTATTTAATGGAATAAATACTCCTTTGCAGACTTCCCTGCAGCAAGGCAACCTCCTTTTCTCCTATTTCCTTCCTTCCCCAGGGACATGCATTATCCATGCGTTGCAAAATAGATCTTGGGGGTTTTTTTTGTTTTGCTTTTTACTTGTACACAAACTCCTCCAGCACATCAGCTGTGACTTCAGTTTCCCAATGCTGCCTTTATTTCAAACTGCTTTCGTTTCTGTGGTCCCATCTTGGTGCATTACTCAGGTCTTTTTGGGTTAGTATCTTTGCATAACCTGCAGAAAATGTAGAACAAGGCACAGATCAGACTGGCAAACTAAGGGAATCGGCAAACACCGTGCTGTACATCCAAACTCCACAAATCCTACCTTTTAAATATGCATTTATAACTCCTATAGTGTTCTCTCTGCTTGAATAAGTAAGACAAGTACTCGGGTCACCCCTTCTATTTAGGAGCATACCTTTCTAGATAGCAAATTATTGATGATAATATCAGAATATCATAGACAGGAACAACCTGTGTTATTTTCTCCTGATGCAATTGTTACAGTGTGTTGGAAGCTATAAGAAGCCTATTGTAATCTCTGACAATTGATAAGCAATTTCCTAAAACAGCTGCTTCACTGTAGCAATCCTTGCTGTGGCTCTTTTTCCATGTAGATGTTCCCTAAGAGTCTTACACCAGAAGAATACCTGTTCTGGGCAATTTCCCCTTTGAGACAAGCCCTTTAAATTGAAATTGGGTTATTTTAGCTACTTGGCAATGCCCATTTACAAGTTAACAAAGCAGAGCTGCTCTCCTGGCTGGGTGGTAGAGGCAAGAGCCTTACATTGCTGATCCAGCCATTGAAGGCGGAGACACGGGTGAAGACGGAAGGCTTGTGGTAGTAATTGCAGCCGAGGGAGGAGCCAAAGCTGACTACACCATTCACTTCCCAGTTGCCATCGGCACGTTGACAGTTCAGTGGGCCACCAGAGTCCCCCTGTGAGGAAGGAGAAGCACCATTATTGGTGGTCCTGGCATGGAAAAGCCATGTCTATCTTTGTGGCAGGAGAGAGGCCATCACCGGCCCAGCTCTGTCATAGAGCTGGAGATGGGACAGGGTAGTGAGACCAGAGCCTGAGCATGGGCCTAGTTGCAGATGAAAGGTCTGTGTATGGGCCACAGCAGATGTGAACAAGCATTTACCAAATATTCCTTGGTGAGGTCAGCTGACATGAGTGATGGGGAGAGGTTTCAAAATACAGCTAACACCGAAGGGCTCCAGCCCCCCCTACCAATACCCAAGTCTGAGTTTAAAGCCAAGCTCAGAAGTCCCATGGTCCTCAGACTCACGTTGCAGCTGGAGATCACCCCATCGCCACCAGCACAGATCATGTTGGTTTTCACTACAGTCCCCCACCAGTCAGGGCTGGAACAGGTTGGATAAGGTACCACGAGCAAATGGCCTTGCTGCAATACGTCTGGGAGGTCACCGTTTGCTGGAGGAGAACAGAGACAAGGGAGTTGCCTTCCCACAGATAATTCAGGAATCAAATGGAGATTGGAGGCAACCCCCCTTGCAAGACAGGATTTGTGGTTCCTCCAGGGACAAGTCACCGGGGAGTCTATGACCAGGGTAGTGGCCAACTGCAGTCCCTGCTGTATTCCTCATAGAGGGAAATGTCTCAGTGACACTCAAAATCCTCATTCCATTACAAATGGTTCTTCAGCGAAGCAGTGATGTGGACAACAGAAGCTGATGGGCCAGTTCTGGCCCTTACCATTTGAGGACCAAGTATAATAAGAAGGTCAAGTGCTGCTTTTTCACCCTCTGATGCCCTCAAATCAGGAAGGAAGAACAGGGGTGAGGCGGATGTCGGGAGCCTGCCCTCATTTTACCTGTGCATCAAAAGACTTCCCCTTTGGGGCTCTATTGGCAACATTAACTGGCTTTTCACCCCTTCCACTGGGCATATTAGCATTTATTGACCCAACAGCCTTCTTTGTATTTCAGGTCACCCCGAGCCCTTATGCAGGGTCGGAGTCCTATTGTGTGAGCAAAATGTTCTGCCATAGAAAAATCTCTCTGCTATGTGAATGAAGCTAGAGCCAGATCAGATGCCTTCTCCCCCTGAGGAGGCACTGGCCACTGACTATAAACCTCAGTCCCAAAGGAGAGCTTAATTCCAACGGGCTTTATTTCATTATTCAGCTATATAGACACTTACTCTGCAGCCTTCCCCATCCTGTCACGTAGCAGATGGCTTTCTTAGTAAGGATGCTGCCTGGTGGGGGGAGGCAAGCGAGCTGGATTTTATCGCTCAGTTGGACATGCTGAGAGAGTTTGATCAAAGCAATGTCATACCTGCAAAAACATTAGGGGGGTGGAGGAAAGGCATTAGTGCTTCATGCCTACAGAGCTGTTCCCCCATTTCAGAGCAAACAACTGGCCTTCGAGGAGCAAAGCCAAGAACAGTCCCCAGACTTCCGCAGGCGTTTCCATCACTTCAGGCTCCAGGCACTGCAACTGCCCCAGAACAGAATTGCCAGCTGGCTAATTGGCCTCACCATCACCTGGAGCTGAAAGGCACGGGCTAATGAGCTGCTCCCAGGCACAGCACTGCCTGGGATGTATGCGGAGGTAGCCTGGGGTGATCTCCTGACCCAGAAACAATTACAACTCTGTGCCCACTGCACCAGGCAGCATCAGACAGCATCCCCACAGCAAATGCAGCAGAACCAAAGGTAGGATTGACTGTCTCCCAGCTCTCTACTGGGCAGCCCTTGAGCTCAGCAGCTGCTCACCCTTCTGGCTGCTGATGCAGTGAGGGACCTTTGGCCATCTCAGCCATTGCATGGTTTTCTCTTCCCCTAACTAAGGCATTGCTTCATACAAATCCAGGGTCAAATTCAGGCATAAAGATCCCCATGCTCCATGGAGAAATCCATGCAGACGTGTTTTCCAGCACAGAGTTATTTAGTAAGGCTTAGCCTGCGTGGGGAAAGCACTACAAGCACAGTCTGTGACAGCAGGAGTGAAATATGTCCAGGGGCCCTGAGAGTTTTGGGCTCCTTCATTTACAGTTGCTGCTTTTTTTTTCTTTTCCCTGCCTGCAATGGGTGATAGTCCCTTAGCTGCTCAGCCGGTCCCCAGATTGCTACCCACGCGGTGGCTGACAGCTCTCTCTCTTCCAGAACAGCCAGGAAGCTCAGCCTTTCAGCAGTTTCTGTCTTGCCAGGCAGCGGTGGGTCTCTGGAGGGCACCAGATGATTTTTTTGGCTGGACCTCCCTATGCAAAGGGGATTCACTAGTGTTTCCTCAGCCTCCTTGAAGCTGGTGCTGCCCTACCCTGAACGTACCCTGCATGCAGGCCCTGCAAGAGAGCTGCTCAACTCTCCTGCCTGTGCTAAGCAAAGCCAGGGAGGCCTTTGCTATTGCATTTGCTGCTGACTCGGTGTTCAGCTGTACAGAGCCTACTCAATGCAAATAGGAATGTTCCTTTTTTTTTTAACGCTGGTTAGCTCAAACCATTCCCCTCTGTTTCTCCACCCCCTACCCCGCTCTGCTTTGCCTTTCCAGAAGTGGCTGTGTTTAAAGAGCTTGAAAAGCCTTCGGGGGAACAAGTGGGGGATCTTTTGGGTTGCAAAGAGCTAAATAAGTAAATATTGTGCCCTGGTCTTACAAAACCTCAGATTGTCTGGGTTACTAAAAACCAAGAGGACTGTCCAAGGGCTGTCTGGATTTCGGAGGACAGAGTTGTCCACATTTGTAAGCCTATGAGGCATTGTAGAAAGCTTTGCAGATGCTTTGCTTTCAGGCTCCTCTAAAGGAAGAGGTTGAGGCTGGCTTGGGAAGAGGGGGCAGCCTTGTTCGTGAAACCACAACACCTGTGATGCTGAGGTCAGTGACACTTGTGCTAATGCACTCAGGCTGAAGGCACCTTCAGCAACCTCGGTTTAACCCAAATTACAAATCATTCTAATAGGACCAAGCAATCAGGACTCGTGGTAGAGGTGATCTCTTTTATTAGGCCAGTTAGATTTTTGCAAAAAAAAATTAATTTAAAATTGAAAATAATTTTTTTTTTTTTTTTTTTTTTTGCAAAAATCTATTTGGTCTAATAAAAGAGATCACCTCTACCATGCATCCTGATTGCTTTTTCCTCTAGACCAATACAGCTACAACCTGGATATCTAATAGGACTGTTCACTTGAGGGTTTTGCAGGACTTGATGTGGGCTGACTGCACGGCTCAGCACCCCTGTCTGATGAGGTGTCGCTTCTCCCCATTATAAGGCTGGAGGCCGTGCTCAGTGGAGCGGGGTATGCATATGGCAGTGTAGAGCTGTGCTAAGCAACAATTCGTACTGAATGCTACTGGAGCTGCTTAGTGCTGGCGGCTTGAGCTGCAAGTGTAAGAGCTGTGTGTATAACAAACAAACAGTGTACTCTTGTTGAGAGGAAGGCTAATGGCATCCTGGGCTGCATTAGTAGAAGCATTACCAGCAGATTGAGGGAAGTGATTATTCCCCCCTATACGGCACTGGGGAGGCCACGTCTTTAGTCCTGTGTCCAGTTTTGGGCCCCCTACTATAGAAAGGGTGTGAGCAAGTTGGAAAGAGTCCAGTGGGGGGCAGTGAAAATGTCTCAGGGGCTGGGGCACATGTCTGCTGATGAGGAGAGGCTGAGGGAACTGGGCTTATTTAATCTGTGGAAGGGAAGACTGAGGGGGGATTTTAATAGCAGCCGTTGACTCCCTGAAAGGTGGTTGCCAAGAGGATGGAACTGGACTGATCTCGGTGATGGCAGAACAAGAAGCAATGGGCTCAAGTTGTGGCAAGGGAAGTTTAGGTTAGATATTAGGAAAAACCTCTTGTCAGGAGGACTGGAAACACTGGACAAGGTTACCCAAAGGGGTTATGGGATTTCCTTGGAAGTTTTTAAGGCCCAGTTCAATAAAGCCTTGGCTGGGATGATGTAGTTGGGGCTGGTCCTGCTTTGAGCAGGGGGTTGGACTAGACGTGACCTCCTGAGGTCCCTACCAACCCTAATTTGCTATGATTCTTTTTTAGCTATTTCACCCATGCTTTTTATGAAAGCTGCTGTTGAAACCTAAATGATCATCACAATCCCTCAGCAGCTTAGGTTGCATGTCTAAAATTTCTGGATGGGGGAAAGCAAGAAGTATGGAGAGAAAGAGAAAACATCCCCTAACTCTTGGCATGTGTCCTGGTGAGAGAGGGGATGTGTTGACAGAGTCGGGCACCCCGTCATCTGGGATAGGAAAGGCCTCAAGTGTTGGATTATCTCTCTCCAAATGCAACATTCTACCATTTTGGAAACCTCAATACAAGTCTAAGCTCTTACAGGTGGCTCCAGCTTTTGAGTTGGGGTTCAGGGCTGGTAGGTCTCAGGTGCTTGGTTTATGATACCATCTCTTAGCCCTTCCATAAAAAACTGCCATTGACTTACCCGTTGGAGACCTTGTTAGGGTTCCACTTCTCATGGACAATGATTTTTGCTGGAGATGCTGCAACCGATCCTTTTTCTTCAGCGTATAGGTTATATTTTCCAAGAAGCACCCGATATGTCCGAGAGAAACTGAGAAGGAAAAGAACCAGAGAGAACTGTTGAGTTGTGTGGCTCCTAAGTAAGGGCCAGGAAGTGTTTGTGGGAGCTATGTTTAAATGACAGAGCAATACCTGCTAGCAACCCTCTTAAGCAAAGTTAAGCCTATTTAACTGGGTTTAATTGATCCGTATTCATGCAAAATTAAGATGATAATACAGGGCATGGTGCATATTAGCCATGCTTTTGTTGGTGGGAGACCTGGGAAATTGTTGACTGTTGTCCAGAAATGAGACTGTGGACTTGGTGATCCTGTTTGGCTTGGAAGAGCCTGTTTCGAATGGGCTTTAGTTGCAGATTGTATGCTGATTTCTGGATATAACGTTAGCATAAATGGCTGGCCGAGGTTCTCCAGCTGATTTACCTGATGCAGTGAGCAGCTGTCATGACCCAGTTGGTTGCAATGAGGGTTCCTCCACAGGTGTGAAACCATTCACCACTGTAAGAGTATTGAAGGGAGGCCTAGGAGCAAAATGTGAAACAATGCTAGGAATGCACCTGACTGGCATCCCACAGCACAACTGGGGAAGGGACAGGACAAGGACCATCCAAACACCCCAGACTTTGAATCAGGATAACTGTCTTAGGGAAAGGGTTTTCCCCCAAGGTTTCTATTCAGTGTTACTTTTCCAAAGCTATTTGCATGGCTTGCTCCAGACAGAATTTATTAGCTATAGAGAAACTTAGTGGTTAAACAGCTCTTTACTAGTCTGTGTAGAAATAGATTGGAAAATGTTGGCAGCTGCTGTTATCCGGTCCTGTGATCGGTTAGAGACTTTACTGAAGCAGATAGGGGTGCACTGTTTCTCCCCCCATTATTTTTTCCATCCCATTTTCAACCAAACCAACAAGGCCCTGATAACTGATAGCTAGACCATTCTTGGAGATCTTGGAACGGATCACAGGCAGGGCTCAGAAACCTCTTAGAAATGGACTGAGGAGATGGGGAATCACAAACCTGCCATGGCCAGCTGTATGGTCTTGCGTTGTCCCCTCCAACCACTCGGGACAAAAAGGGTTTGTAGATGGGATCCCCACAACTGAGGACTGCAAGAGAGACATGGCGGGATCCACTTTAGAAACAGGCATGTATCAAGCCATCTCCAATTCTGTTCTGGTTGTTACAGTGTGCCCCTCACCCCGGTATCTGAGAACCTGCATGTTTCTGACTGGTAGGAGGGAGATAGGGTTAGTCTAGAGAGCAGGCAAGATAAAAAGCTGCGTATGAGCTGGATACATACCCCCAGGGGTCAAAGTGAGTGCCACAAATAGGATCGTGTTCATAGTGTCCCAGGGCAGTTTGATGTGAATGTGCGTCTCCTGAGCCGTTTTATGTAGCTGCAGCTTATCTCTGGGAGATACCGCCTGGGATGGAGCGCTGCTCTGTCACCAGTGGAAAGTTTTACAACAATGGGACATACTTCCAGGAAAGGTCAAGGTAGCTAGACTTTGAAATCCAGGCTCCATCTAGGTTTGTTTTTTTTTGTTGAGGGGTGGTGGGGAGCACCAGGTGAGCTGGAAGATATTTGTTCCAGCTGTTTGCTATCCCACAACCTTGAGTTAATCCTGCTGATATATTATGCGAGAGGAAATTCCTATGTGGCATTAATGTCATGACCCATCACTAGTCTCAGTGCACTTTAGGCACTGCCAATCCTGACGTGTCAGGATAACTTTGGGGCTGTGCTTACAATAGCCTATTTTTATTTTTTAGAATTGATCAAAGGGTGGTAGTGTCAACTCAACGTCAACTGGAACAGCTGATCTTCTTGTCTAGATCGTACGGGGTGCATCCAGCTGTCCCCATTTCAAATAAACACAAACTAGAGACACCCTGGTCTAGAAAAGATGGTGAGAGATTTTCAACCAAGCTGTCTGCTAAAATAAGCACATTGCCGTCCAAGGCCCTTCAGTACTCTCTTATGTCCTTCTGCCATGTCAGGAGTCATAACGGATCTATTCCTACTGCTAACATGGCACAAAGTGGCAAAACAACAAAGAAGGAAAGACCACAAAAAATAATTTTTGGAAGAAACTTCTCCCTGCAAACACTGCTTGAAAACGCTGTTTCGTGGGGAAAACTGGAAAGAGCTTGTTTTGTTCTGAACCGGAACAAAATGCAAGATGGTGAAATTTCTCCCAAACCAGAAATTCCCCTTTTGCAGCTGTTCTGCTCCCAAATATGCAGCCGTCACTGTGAGGGGGAAATGGGATCCAGTGCCTTTGCAGCTTGGAGAAGGGGTCTTGAGGGGTGGCTACAAAAACACCAGCTCTTCGGAGTAGGCAGCTTCCCCAGCAGGTACCTGTATGGTGTTGCCTGCCCTGCCAGTGGTTGATGAATACCTATAGTAAGAAAACTCCATCATAGGAGCTGAGAAACTGCTCATCAACTGCTGATTCTTGACAGCATCTTCCTCCCCACTTTGATCCCCGTTACTATAGTATCTGAGCAACTTACAGTCTGTAATTTATTGATCCTGATGGCACGCCTTGTGTGCTGGGTGGTGCTATTGTCCACGTTTTATGGAGGCACCAGGATTTTAGGTGCCGTGTCCAGGGTCAAAGAAGAGGTCTCTGAGAGAACAAGGAACTGAACCTGGGTCTCCTGACACCACCACAGAGCTATAATCATTGGATCACCCCTTCTCTCTCCACTTGGGGCCAGATCAAGAACATGAGACTTTGTGGCCAGGGGCCAATTTGTTGCCTTAAATTGTTTGAGCTACTCACTCCCCACCATGATACTTATGCTTAGTCCTGTCCTTGGGATACAGCCCTAGAGGCTTCCGCAACACGTGGAGTTTGGCAGAGGCTGCACCTTGCCACTCTATCATGCCTTAATGTCTGAGCTCTCAACTGCTCCAGAATTGGCTCAGAGTTGCGACATGCTGGTTGATCCCCTGCAGAGAAATGTTCAAGCAGGTACCAAAGCCTGTGTCAAAACTCAGAGCCATCGGCCCACGGGCTCTGACAAGATCCATCTGGCAGGTGGCAGCTAATGCTCTGGATATGTTCCAGATGATGGGAGCTGGGGGCTTTTGCTAGTGTGTGCCAGTGCTTCCTGTCATCCTTCCATTTAGTTTTAAAAGGCCAATTCATGCATGCAGAGGAGAGCGGGTGGCTGCGGAGCGTAGACGGGAATATTTCACAGTACAGCTTGCTGCAAGGATGAGTCTCTTACCAAACCAAGTCACCAAGAGGAGGTCTGGGAAGAGCCTAGACAGGCTGGGGCCCTGCACATTCTGCCTCCTGCGCTGCTTTATTTCAAGTCCCCACTGCTGAAGCTTGCAGACCTTCTTTCCATGCTCAGAGCCACTGAGCCTCCGTGCCCTTCTCTGTGTCCCAGGAAGGTAGGGAAGTGCTATCTCCAAAACACAGAGGCACAGTGAGTTATGTGTGGTAGCAATGAATGGGCGAGTGCTCAGGAGCATCTGACTCTCATGAGTTGCCAATGCATATGGATCAGCATTTTTCCCCTTACGCTCCCTGTTAGAGTGGCAGGCCCTGACTGTAGTAGTACAGGTGCAAGCCGGGCCCAGGAGGGCTGGGATCTGGCGGATATGGGCCGGTTGCACCTTGGGGGCTCTAGTGGTTGCCAATGGAAGCACTCAGTCGCAAGGGTTGGCTTTTCCCTCCTCCGTCATTTTTGGTGACATTCATGGAGCTCTTGTCCAAAAGCACAGAGCTGTTGGACCTGTGTTCCTTGGGGACTCTTCTGTATACATCTTATAGCAGAGCACACAGGGTAAATTCGTATCGTCCCTTGAAAAGTAAGAATTAAAGAAACAAGCCCAGTTGGATTCCAGTTTCCATCCTCACCCCTCTTTCTGTACCTTTGTGTATAATCAAAATCTACCTTTGTTTGACTGTGGGGAAAGGAGTCCTCCAGAGAAACAGGTTGAAGCACATTCATCAGCAGGCTTATTCTGTTGCATAGGGAACTGACTGAAACCTCTTCAAATTGAAGTCAAGGTAGATGGGAGATCCCTCAGTCTTTGTGGAGTGTAATGCTACGCTTGGTCTATGCGCTGGACCTTGTGTTAACAAAAATGTTGGTTTGGGATGTTTCAGAACTGAGATACAGCCCTTTTGAGTAAATTGCTGGCCGGGGGAATCAAGCCAATGTAATATGAATTTCTTCTCTTCATTCACCCAATAGAATAGCTTTGGTTATTTCTGTGTGTCTATGATTGTGTCGTCTTTTTGTTCTACTTTGGCTTGCCAATCCCTCAGCAAAAAATTTCTAGGCAGCTAATCCCCATAAATCACAGAATCATAGAAAATGAGGGTTGGTAGGGGCCTCAGGAGGTCACATTTAGTCCAACCCTCTGCTCCAAGCAGGACCAGCCCCAACTAGATCATCCCAGTCAGGGCTTTGTCTACCTGGGTCTTAAACACCTCCAAGGATGGAGATCCCACTACCTCTCATTGCTGGCTGACTTGTAGAAACTCTTCTTGTTACCCTTTGTGTCCCTTGCTAGCTGCTACTTCAGTGGTGCTTTGGCCTTCCTGATTTCATCCTTGCATGCCCAAGCAACACTCTTATAGTCCTCCATAGTCATTTGTCCATGTTTCCACTCCTTGTAAGCTTTGTTTTTGTGTTTGAGCTCAGTGAAGAGTTCCCTGCTAAGCCAAGCTGATCTTCTGCCATACTGGCTAGTCTTCCTGTGTGTCAGGATGGTTTGTTCCTGTGCCCTCGGTAACATTTCTTTAAAATACCGCCAGCTCTTCTGGCTCCTTTCCAACCTCAGGCTGGCCTTCCAGGGTATCCTGCCCATCAGTTCCCTGCGCAAGTCTAAGTCTGCTTTGCTGAGGTCCAGGATCCTTACTATGCTCCTCTCCTTCCTTCTTTTTCTCAAGTCAATGAGAGTTAGGTTCCCAAATACCTTTAAAACTCTGTTCTGTTTGGCCTAGTGGACTAAGATTGGGGCTGGTAGATCCTATTACAACACAAATGATAGTTATCACAAAAAATGTAAGGTTGGAAAGAACCCGGAGAGATCACATTGTACCTCCTGCACTGAGTCGGGATCAAATATATCTCCAGCAAACAATATGGACAGTCCGTTTTAACTCTGGCTCAGTAATGCACTGGGATTCTAGAGTCCGGTCTCAATTTATTTCCTTCAGTAGATATACATGGAAAGAAAAGATGGAAAAAAGACCCTGAACCTGGGACAGATCCCGCATTGTTGTAAACCAGTAATCGGTTCAAGTCGATGGCACAAAGCATGTTTACACCAGGTGGAAATCTGGCCTCCAGAACTGAACAACTGAGTGAGAGATGCCATGGAAGCAGAGCTGGACCCAAGAAAGCTCTGATGAGAGGGGTTATTAGGCTGTTATGGGATTGTAAGTGCCATTCCAAGCATAATCCCTTTCCATGTTCATCGTCTGGTGGAGGAAAAGAAAAGGAAAAAAAGTTGAATTATCATTAATAAGCTCCATTCGCCAGAGTAATGAATTCCTAGTGAAGTGAGTTCAGGCATACAGCCAGGCTGTCTGCTCTCCGGATGGTGTATCCTGCACTATATCAAATCTCTAGGCCAAGAGTGACAAAGATGGGAGTTTAAAGTGAGGCTGTAAGGACTTGTCAGGTGTCTCAGTAAATTGCCTGAGGTTTCACTGCTGCTGAGAACCAAGAAGACCTCACTCGTATCCCTGTGAAGTCCATGGAGGCTTCAGCACTCTACAGAGCTGGGACACTTTTTCTGGTGCCTGAGTAAGGATATAGAGGTCTCACTCTCAGCCTCTGTTTTTTAACCATCATTGATATGGAGAAAATGTAGGCTCACGTAGCTAAGTTGCATAAGCTTACACATAGCCACTTTAATGCGCATTAACGTGGTGTGTGTCCATTGTCCCATACCACATGAATGCGTCTACATTTGGGCTAATGTGACTTAGCTATTTGTGCCTAAATTTGGTACTTGCTTTAAGCAAGTATCAAATTTAGGCGGGATTAGCCTAAAATCACCCTTTTTAAAGGCATATTAAGGGCATGCATGTGTGTCCATGACCTTAATGTGCCTTAAAAATGGAGATTGTAGGCTAATCCCGTTTAAAAGGGCCACGTGTAGACAAGCCCATTGACTCCTTGCCTAACTTCCTCACACCTGGGATTTGGGCCTAGAGCTCTAAAATGGAAGGAAAGGTGAAGAGAGGACTGGAGGGCTAGGATGGATAAACTGGGTGTGCTTTTTTACGCTGGGATGTGAACTGTCTGGAGAAGGTTAAACCTCCAGCACTTTGCTTTAACATGCAGGCACCCACCTTTCGTATCCAGGCAATGTAGGCAGAAACCCGAGTGAAGACAGTCGGCTTCTGAAAAGTATTGCAGCCCTGAGAAGACACAAAGCTTGCGATGCCGTGCACCTCCCATGCTCTCCCAGGACGGCAGATCAAAGGGCCACCGGAATCCCCCTAGACAACATAAAATGCAGAGATCTTTAGTGCAGTAATAATCCTTGATGAATATGGTACATGGGGAGGATCCTGAGAGCATCTCTGACTTAATGTGCTTGGACATCTTTGGACCTCTCATGCTGTCCAGAGGTCACAGTTGAAAGAATCAGCACTGGGCCCAGCATTGTACTTGGGATGCCTCAGCTTCAACCTATCCTTGGGTTCAGAAATACCTTAAAAATTTTAAGCTCAGCCTCTGTATATTTTCTTTGCTGTATTTAGGGATACAGACAGATTGAGTGAAAGTGCTTCATTAAAAGTGGATGAATTATTATCTACATGCAAATAAGAGGTGAACGCACAGTCATGGCTGTCAGGCTGGCTACTGTCTTTTCACCAAAGAGTTGACTTGCAACAGTATTTTTTCCTCAAACTGAACCCTGTGTGTGCAGGTCAGTATTTTATAAGCACACACAGCTTTGGATTTCCAGATATTTCATAAGATGTAGGCAGCAATCCCACTGGGCTGCAGGTAGTTGGTGGGACAAACAACCAGCGTGGATAGTGCCCTATAGCCATCATGACAGTAGTGTCTTCTGAAACAGTGTCATGGCACATTCAGTGAACTTGTCTGGAATAACAGGATCTTGGCTTGTAGGCTCTTGTGACAATGTACCCCCTTCTCGAGTGTGAACTGCTCTGCAGTCCCCTAAACTGGTACCGCAGTCCCCTAAACTGGTACCTCAGCCCCCACTAGGCTTGTCTGGCAGAGGTGCCAGGTCTCTGGTTTAACTTGTAGATGATCCCCTATATCTTGCAATGAGATGGAGTTTCACCATGTCTTTCAGTCAAAGCTCTTAAAGAAGTTTGTGAGCCTCGCTGCAGACATTGCTGGCAGGACTTACATTGCACCCAGAAATGTATCCGTCTCCTCCTGCACAGATCATGGTAGTCTTGACGATGCTGCCCCACCAGTTTGGCCGAGAGCATGTGGCATAATTCACAATGGGCATCATTGCCTCCTGGAGGACTTCAGGGAGGGGTCCACCAGCTGTAAAACAGAGGAGACCACAAAAGAGTGGGGCCATCAGGAGGGTTTTACACACAGGTGAAAGGCAAAATGTTTCTTACAAGGCTGGTTGATATCATGAACTGTACTAAACAGATGGGGAAACGGAGTCTGAGAGAGAGAAAGGGACTTGGCCAGGGCCATCCTGCAGAGCAGTGGCAAAGATGGGAGTTGAACAAGGTCTCCCAAGGCCTCGTGATAGTTTCCTCCACTAGATCATGCTGCCCAATGAGGTAAAGGACGTGTAAAGTGATAATTAGAAGAAAGCTAGCTTGGGTGGAGCCCTAGAAATGCACTGCCAGGAACAAGCTGAACTCTGCTCCTCTTAAATCTTTTTCATCTCCACCCTCTGTGATTTCTTAGTTTCCTTGGGAAGTTGAGATATGCTCTGGCTTCCATGGAAGAGCCAGATCAGCTGGTTTGTGGTTGAGGAGTCTGGTCAGTCTGGGGGAGGTGTGTGCCCTGCTTCGTCTAGCTAAGCCCTTTTTGGCCATCAGCCAAGATCAGTGTGCCCAGAGCTCTCCTGCAACACAGTGCCCTCTCCATGCTGCATGGAGCGTAGCCTACTCGGCTGTCATCCTTGTCAAGGGGCAAGGGCCTTGGCATGCAGTCACGGAGCCCTCCGTACCATCCCTGAAGTGTGATGTGCGTGGGCATTACGGCACATACATTACAGGTACTGGAAGGCCTGATGTTAGGGGAGGCTGCACTACTTACTGCTGAGTTGCCCCCATCCAGTGATAAAGCAGGAGAAGCGGTTAGGAAGGATGGAGCCCGCTGGCGGCAGGCAGGCTGGCTGGATTTTGTTGTTCAGCTTCACCGGCTGAGACAGTTTGATCAGGGCAAGGTCATTTCTGAAACACAGACCAAGGAAGGACAGGGAGGGGAAGAAGTTAATCTCAGCTGGAGATTGCTGTACAGCACCTGGCAAGGTTCAACTCCCCTGGATCTCTCTCTCTCTGCAGTTGTTCCCTTCTGTAGATTATACCAGCAATGGAGCCTGGCTCAGTCTCTCCATGCAAAACTGTTTTTAGTGGGAGTCAGCGTTGCATGGAGGCTGCAGGATCAGGGGCTTTCATCAGCCTCAAATGCAGACACGTGCTTTCTACCACGAAGAAGATGCAGCAGGAGCAGCATCTCCACAAATGCGCCGGGGCACTAGGCGCCTCTCTCAGCATTACAGAACTGACGTGGCCAAGAAGAACTGTGCGTCTCAGCTACAGCTGCTGGGATCCAGGCCCCCGAGCCCCTTTTGGAAGGGAGACATGGGGTCCTGCGTCACTTGGGCACCCTTGAGCGCTATTCACTACATACAGACCTTGGGATCTGTCATTTGCATTGCCCAAATGACCGGGGTGTAATATGGGAGCAAGTAAACCAATCAAAACCTGAAATCGCGGAGCTACCCCCACAGCCAAGCCTCAGACATTGCACTGCAAGTGCCTTCCTTCTCTGTTAAAATATGTGCCTTGACGATCAATAGTGCACCAAATCCCATTCAGCAGGGAACAACCAGCCACGCCAGAACATAATCAGAAAGTGAGAGTGAAACTGAAGTCCAAGTTGGCAGGTTGAAGCCCAGCCTTGTGCATAGAGGCAATAAAGAGGAGACTAAACAAGTCCCCTCTGTCCGCATCCCAGTGCTTTAGGAACTGGTGGATTTACCTGATTGTTGTGGGGTCCCAGTCCTCCTTCACAATGATTTTGTCCGGCTTAATACCCAGAGAGCCAGGTTCGTTTTTTTTCAGGTTGTGCTTCCCCAGATAAACGAGGTACTCTCTGTTTCTTCTGTATGAACCAACAAAGCAGAAGAAAATGTGGGCAAGCTTGCAAGCCTCTTAGTTTCCTCCAGAAACCCCCACTACCCTTCAAGGCTTAAGCCCAGTCCCAATACTGTGCCAAGGCCATCAAGGAAAATGAATGTGTTAGCTCCATTAACTGACAGCAGTAGAAGGCCATATCTGCCCTCTGTTAGGGTGAGTTGCTTATTTTTGCTTCCCTTCACCATCGCCCGCTCGTTAGGTATTTCACAGTGTTGCTTCTCAAGACTCCCTAGCTCCTTTCTCAAGCACCCTGGGCATTTCTCACCAAAAGACTTTGGGTTCTGATTTGTGCCCATCTCTCCCACCTGGTTTCTCTTGTCCATGTTGCTTACTCACTTACTGAATACAGTGGGCTGCAGTCAGCACCCAGTTGGTAGCAATGAGGGTGCCACCACATACATGTATCTGTCTACCAGACATGGTAATCTGGAGGGAAATCTGGAATTCAAAGACATGAGGATGTTAGCTATACTTTACTGATGGCAAAGCCTCAGAACCCGTCTCATTCAGCTGCAACGCAGGATCTTTACCTGCCAAGGCCAGCTGTGGGGTCTGGCATCTTCGCCTCCTACCACTCGGGAGGTAATGGGTGTGAAGGCAGGCACGCCACAACCGTAGGCTTGGAAATACAATAGAGATAGAGGGATGAGCATTTTAAAAGCAGTTTAACTTTCATACTAGCCTAGTCCTTCCCCCACCTCTCTAAACCCCTGGTCTTCAGAGGTACAGAAAGTATTCAAGCTATCTCCTCTTTGCTGCAGCACAATCATATTGATTTCAGATAACTTCATTGTCTGAGTTGAGTATCTAAGAAAGGGGCCCCCACCAAGAGCTGGGTTGTACCACACCACAGCAAGGCTTAGAAAGGCACAGGAGAAGCCCTGTGTAAGTGAATTGTGCATGCAGTAAGCTGTGGGGGTTGAAAATAAATCGTCCTGTGGAGTCCCCGCAGGTTTGTGTCTACAGTTTACCTGTCAAATGCTGGAGACTGAACCCCATTTCCAGGAAGCTTGCATTGCAGCTGCCTGTGCTCCAACAGCAGATCATAGCATCATAGAGAATTAGGGCTGGAAGGGATCTCAGGAGGTCACATCTAGTCCAACCCCCTGCTCCAAGCAGGACCAGCCCCAACGACATCGTCCCAGCCAAAGCTTTGTCTATCCAGGTCTTAAAAACCTGCAGGGGTGGAGACTTCACAACCTCTCTGTGTAACTGGTTCCATGTTTTACTACCCTCCTAGTGAGAGAGTGTTTCTTAATATCTAACCTCAACTTCCCTTGCTGCAGCTTGAGCCCATTGCTCCTTGTCCTGTCATTTGCCACCACTGAGACCAGCCCAGCTCCATCCTCTCCCTGCAGGGAGTTGAAGGCTGCTATCAAATCCCCTCTCAGTCTTCTCTTCTCCAGACTAAATCAGCCCAGTTCTCTCAGCCTCTCTTCATAAGTCATGTGTCCCAGCCCCCTAACCACTTTGTTGGCCCTCCACTG